ATCATATACAACAACAACATCAGAGACAAACCATATGGAAAAGCTTTGGTAGAAGAATGCATGGTAGGACTTGGTTTTGCCCCTGGCTGGGGGATGGCTCAATGAAGACAGCACCTTGTCAAGGTGACTCCACTCCCTGAGAAACAATACAGAGTATAAGTGATGCATTTTCCTGCTTAAGGCTGACCTGGGGATATCTGCAGCTCAAAGCACAGAGCTGTTCTCTTTCCTGTAAAAGGACCACAGATCATTGCTTTCATCACCATCTTCTAGGTAAAGCCTTTAATGCAGGTGCTCATTTGCATATATAACGACTCCTGCATTGTAGCAGTTAGTGGTCTCCCACCATACGAGGGAATAAAGGATTAGGTAAGAATTTTTCAGTTCTTTGATACCAAAACTGCCTTCCAGCAAATTAATGGGCACACACATTTCATGTTCTTTTAAAAAGCTGATGGAGGTGGCAGACAATGAATGACATCCAGAAAATTCAACCCACCAGAAAACACGAGCCTGCCTGATACTGAGAAGTTCCTCCAGTGCCAACTGCAGTCTAGCCTACTGGCACTTCAGAGCTCTCTTGGGGTAGCTAATACACCAGGGTTCCAGAGCTGAGGGCTCAAGTTTTCCTGATGTGCTGCTTAAAGCCTCACCCACTGCTCTTAGAAGAAGAGAAAAGTCCTTTTTTTTGCATTCAAAATACCACTCCCTTCTTGGTGCTCAGATCCTTCAAACATTTGTGTGCCATTCTGTCTCTTTACAGCCATTGCTCAGCCAAACTCCACGTACTTCACTCCTTTAATGTTGCTTTTCATACGAGCCCCTACAGCTCGCTCTTCCCTCTGAACTACCTCCAACACTCAATACCTTTCTGATTCCAGAAATCTGACAGCGTTTGAGTTGGATTCTCTTTCCTGCAGCCAGGAACATTCTGTACTGAGTTATTCTTGTGATTTAAAATTATTTCTATGAACATATTTTAAAAATTCCACCTCCTGTACAACTTTTCAGTACCTCAGTACAGTTGTAAAGGGGAAGAACTAATATGATATTCTTTTAAACACCCACTCTAGATGGGTTAAAGGGGCACACAGGGTTCAGAGGGGAATGGAACCAGTTGGATGACACAGGAGAGGGTACAGTTGTAACTCCAAAGTTAGATCTGTGCCAGTAGATCTCATACGCATCCATCTGCTGCAACATACATGCACTGAGCACATCAGGTCTGCTTTTTCTAATGCACAACACTCTATTTACTTTCTTCTAGCACACCATCACCCAAGCTAACATGGAAATGGGAAGCACAGAGCAAAAAGCAGCAGCAATGAATGGAGCAGTCAGTGTGGGAGGCAGAGCTCAGCTGTAGTCCAGAAGCCAAACAGCCTATTGGCAGCTAATGCTGAAGAGCATCTTGCCTACTTCTACAACTATGCTATCACAAGAGTCCGTCTCTCCATGCTGCTATGAAATCATACATGGCCAGTCAGAATTTTTAGTAAGACTTCCCCCCCAAAAAACAACATGCAGATTCCACATCACCAGTTATGTGAAATCTCAAGAACCTGTTCTGCCAAATTCCACATTAAGTTATTTCTCAAAGCTTCAAAAATGTTTCTTCTAAAATAATTCTAGTAAACTCAAAAGAAAACATGACAGCTTATTTTGGTTCTGACTTTGCCTTCATTTCTTCTTTTTTATTGCTAAAAGAAAACAAAGACCCCAAGAAACTAACAAAGATGTCAAAATTCTGAAAACTTCAGGAGTTTCCACCTGCTTTCTTGATGAAGGCAGTTTTAGGGAAAAGTCTTAAAGAGTCATTTTCATCCTGAATTTCCCAGTTGCCAGAAAGCTAAGAAATTCTCATTTTCATTCTGCTCCACTTGGCACCTTTTAGAATAACACTGTGTACAGCATGTATACCTAACCCGTAATTATTTTCCTGCATTAGCATCTGCCAACTTGGTAAATTATAACAGAGAAAACAAATGTATTTGTCACAGCTGTAATAAGCCGTATCCGTGCTACCCATGTTGTTTGATTGATATTAGGGATGATGTGGATAAACAGCAAATCTTAAGGCTGGCTCAGCACTGTTTTTTTTCCTCTCATCAAAGAACTTCACATTACATGTTTTTCCTCTAACCCTGATTAAAAGAATAATGAGGGCCATAAGAACTATTTGGCTTGATTGCCTTTCTACTGACACTCCCATTAAACCGTGCTGTCCATAAATTAGCTGGTGTACTAAAGCAGCTTCTCTGCACTGATACACAATGGTAGTAATTTCAGTAGGGCTGAAAAAATGAGAAATAATGACAGACATAATCATAGTCAATGGTTTGTAAGGTTTCCTTAGAAACAACGTTAAGCTCAAAAAGTAGAGAACAAAATGTTTGAATACACAGGAAAACAAACACTAGAAAAAACCTTTCAGACACAAAAGAGGAACGTAAGCCAAAAAAGAGTAATTTATATTAATCCTCACTTAAGTTATCTAGGACTAATACTCAAGCTATCTGTTGGAGTCATGGAGCAGTAATTTTTCATTCAGACACTGAACCCAAATTGTTTCTTTCTCCTTTCCTTTCTGAAATTTTTGTGAGAACCATTTTACAAAGTAAACTTCTGTCCTAACACTCATGAATGAGCTCAACAAAAAACAAAGCTCTTCTCTGGAGAAGCCGTCAGAAGGCATGCTGGAGATGAATAAGGCAACCAGATTGTCAGAACCTCATGAATCTCTGTGGCAATATCATCACAGAATGGCCTGGGTTGAAAAGGACCACAAAGACCAGCCAGTTCCAACCCCCTGCTATGTGCAGGGTCTCCAACCAGCAGACCAGGCTGCCCAGAGCCACATCCAGCCTGGCTTTAAATGCCTCCAGGGATGTGGGGCATCCACAGCCTCCTTGGGCAACCTGTTCCAGTGTGTCAAATATCCCAGTGAGACCTCCTTGCTGTGGTGTACCCACAAAACAAACGTATATATCAATGAGTATCTGTAGGAAATGACCCCTTCCTAAAACATGGCTCCCTACTGCCTTTAAAGGGCACTGAAATACGCTTTGGCTGCTTCTCCAGTTTTACATCTCATCTGAAAGATAGAAGAGACTTCAGGAACAGAACAGAAACGGTGCGACAGTCCTCAGCGTAAGCAGGGAGCAGGAGAAGTAATTTATCACTTAAGTGTTTCTTTGGGGTGAATTATTTGAAAGCTGTATGTGAGGGATATTTTGGGTCAACTTTAAGGATGGATGCCTTGTTTTTTAAACTGATATCACTGTGTCAAGCAGGAGGTAAAAAACGCTGCAGAGTCCCAGCTTGACCAAGCTTCACCTTTCAAGGCAGCCTCTTCCTTCAGAGTAACAAAGTATGCAAGTGTATTTCTTTATGGCAAGGGTTACTAAGTTAAAGATCTGAAAGGAAATGTAAACAAGATGCAGGAGTTTCTCACCACCGGATGCCAACAGCTGCCAAAAAGCACCTCCAGGTTAAGACTTACAGACAGAATGTATGCCTTGCAGAAGGAAAACAGTCTGAGAAAGTGGAAGAGAAACAAGTCCCCAGTGCTGACAAGTTACCTTAGTTTTGTAATCTACTGACACAAAATACCTGGGAGCTTGGAATAAAAGCACAACTGGGCACAAAGTTAACAAAAATACACCAACTCTACAGTAGGAACAAAATCTAAAAGGGTAGTTCAATATATGTTAACAGCCAATGAGTGGTTATTAATTCTTATTCTAGTAAAGAGATACCAAATGTTAAAATAAATAAAACCCAACAAATATCTGCTGTAGTCATTTCCAATGCATTGTTGCTGACCCAGGAAAACTTGCATCAAGTTTCAGGTGCCCCAAACACATACTGCCATGTTTCCTTCAGTGGATTTATACTAAGGATGTTTTTCCTAAAATAATTAAAAAGAGAAGCTCAACTGCACAGTTTCACCAAGAATAGATTTCAACGTGCTCTTCTCTCATGACTCTGCATGAAGATCCAAGAGGAGGAAGTAATTGCTATTTAATTGCATCACAAAAACATCAGCTGACATTGCCAGTAAAAGTACCACTTCACAAGCAGTCTCTCAATAGGAACACCTTTGGAGCACAGGGAATCCAGCCCATGGGATTCAGCAAGCTGCTCAGCCCCTACCACACACCATTCCCTGCTGCCTCCTTTGACAGAAACCAGCGATAGCCTGGGCTGGAAGAGACCTTAAACATCATCTAGGTTGATAGCAGGAAAAACTTCTTTACAGAAAAGGGTTGTTAAGCACTGGAATGGGCTCCCCACAGAGGTGGTTGAGTCACCATCCCTAGATGCATTTAAAAACTGTTTGGATGTGGTGCTGAGGGACGTGATTTAGTGGAGGGTTGTTAGAGTTAGGGTAGGATGGTTAGGCTGTGGTTGGACTTGATGATCTTTAAGGTCTTTTCCAACCTGAGACAGTCTATGATTCTAGTTCCAAAACTCAGCACCTGCATTCAATTACATCACTGATTTCTGCAGCTCTCCCTGCACCTGGCTGGTTATTGATTTTGCCTTTGATTTTGGCAGGTGTGACCCAGAGCATTTAGGGATTCTCCAGCTGAAACCACTGATTACACTAGGAGCTCAGCAGCAAAGCAGCCATGATTGCTCCCAACGTACGCTTTCTGTGGCTATGAATCAAAGATAACATACAGAAGACACAGGAAAAAAACCCTCAAGATAAAGACATCCATGATACTCAAACATACCGCTCTTAAGCAAACAAAAGTCAGCGTGTACCAGAAAACTGAGTGGAAAGCTGAGACCCTGACAAATAAACACACGTACGTTCTCCACACATTTCCCACCGCCGTTTCAGCACGGGGTTTTCCATCAATCCTTGCCCAAAGCGCTACACGGGACACCGATACCCCCCGACCGCCTCCACCCCATCCTCCGCCGCATCTCCTGCACGAAGGCACGCAGCCGGGAGGTAAGGCGCATCGAGAAGTAAAATCACACCTCACCTCAGCTCTGTGTGTTTGGCCAGCCAAGCCAAAAAGCGCTCAAGAAAGCCGCACCTCGCGGTCCCCGCGCTGCCGCCGTCCCCTGGTTGCCGCGTGCAGCTGCTGCTGGAACTTTCCGTGCCGTGAGGCGGATGCACGTGCGACTGGCCGGCGCTGCAGGGCGCTGAGCCGCTCCGCTATTGGTCCGCGCCCCGCCCCGCCTCAGGGCGCAGCTGCGGGGGACGAACGCTGGCGATGCTCCCTGCTCTCCCTCAACAGATTCTATTTCCGCTGCGTTCTGTGTCTGCTTAATAAAAGCTTTTTTTTTTTTTTTTTTTTTTTTTTTTTTTTTTTTTTTTTTTTTTTACTTTTTTAGCTCGTCTCCAGCTTCATCTTAATTCATTTCCATTTGACTGTGTCGGGATACGCTCTGTGTTTGGGTCTGTAGAATGCAGATGGAGTTTGTTTGAAACCCAGCCTCGCTGCCTTCTGTGATCCGCTAAGCAAACAGAGCGGCAAGCCTCGAGCAGCAGCTCTGTGCCACCAACAGCTCCTGCACCGCTGGGTTTCCATGAGGAGTGAGGTGCTTGTGGGTATTCCACTGAGTATCTGGCAGTATCTGGTATCTTCCCCCGTTTCCAGCAGTTAAACCTTCCTGAAATACAACAGAAAAGCACCAGATACTTTTCCAACGGCACTACCACGTGGAACAGTTGCATTAGATGCTATGGGAAGCCATTCCTTTTCCTGTGTCAGAAAAATGATGTACATGAGAGAGGAGACACGAGGCCATCTTACAGCCACCCAGGATCCCCAGCACGTTAGCATGTCCCAACTTTTGTCTGGGAACTGCAGTTTCTGCTGAGATCTCTCAGCTGTGCAGGGACAACAGATGGTCTGATCACACTCATTCTACTCAGATGTGGCAGATGTGCTGTTTTCTCCTCTATTCTTAACCTGGCTTGAGAGAGTTGTAAAGAAAATGCTATCCTGTCTTTTTCATTGCAGACAGTCTTCTTGCACGGCGCAGTCCTGATCTTTGGATCCCTTGTCCTCTTTTCTGGTTGACTGATGTGTCAAAAAAAATAGTATCACAATGGATAGCCCACCATGATGTGTAGGCACAAATAACACGTGCTGTTGCTGCTATTGCTGAGTAGGAACAGGATGAGGAAACTCTGTTGGCTATAATACCACCATCCCCATTGGAGAACTTCCTCACGAAATGACTTGGATTCTCCAGTCAAAAAAGTGGTCTTTATAAGCCTCTTTCCATAGCCAGATTTTACCAGGTGAGAGAATGTAGGACATGGAACTCCATTTTATGTAATAATCAATAATTGCTAGGCATGTATTCCATTTTTACTTGAGGAAAATGATCTCATTATAGCTGTTTTTTATTCTCTGTGATTTTCAAGACTCAGTAAATGGGAAGGTTTCCAAGTGAGTAACTGCATTCTTGATGAACCTGATCTCTTTTTACATAATCCCATAAAAGACATCCTTCCTCATATTAGTTGGTTAGCACTGTGTAATATACAGTGTTCCATCATTAGCTAGCCTAAATGGACATTCATTGGATGAACATTATGATGTTTAAATTTCTCCTTCAAAATAATACATTAGAGATTATTGCTGTAGTTTTTGCTCCAAGGCACTACTGCTTGTAATCAAAATCTCATTAAAAGGAATTCATATATTCCGTAGCCCAAAGGATCTCAATTTCATTCCTTCTCCTGTCCCTTTGCCTCCCATGCACTGATTTATATGGGTGTTTTACCTAAGGAAAGTCTGTCCAATTTGGCTCTTTCAAGAGAGAGTGTCAAAGGTATAAACAACATTAGACACCAAGCTGTTTATGTATGCTGAAGAGCTCGGATAAAACCTACTTCTCTCTCTTTGCCAATTTAAGCCAAACATTTAAAGTAATGAGAAGTTCTTTTGCAGATGCTGCTCTGATGTATGACGAGGAAAACCTTTGACATCATAATCTATCTGACCAGAAGAAAACATGACTTGAGGCAAATATCTGGCCCTGAAACTAACTTCTTTATCTTTTTTTTTTTTTTTCCTTTGCCTCTCCTCTCTGACTAAATTTGTTTCAAATAACTGATTTATTTCAAAATGACTTAGGGATTACTGGAACCAAATCCCGTCTGTATGAGTTGTCAAATCTTCTAGATTTTATATGGAGGAGTATTTGCCTGTCACAAAAGAGAAAAATTAGAGGACAGTTTGTAGTAACCACGGTTATTAACCCAATTTTTACTTAAGCATCAAACTTATTAGGAGAACATATGTTTTTGTTGCTTTTTTAGAGGAAGATAAACAGCTCTGACATGCAGGAGATGCTCGTAAAAACCTCTGAACTGGTTTGTGAATTGTTTTTCTGTACTCCAGAAAGTTTACAAACTCTACTTTTGGAGTTTGCAACGTGTGCCCAATTATTAGGTTCTTCAGGTAACATTCTTCCTATACTGGGGTGAGATATCTCACACGGTGCAGCCTGCTTTACCTGCATCTTGGCACCTTATGGCAGATGAAATGATGAGCTAGTGTCATAGAGCACATGATATATACTGCAGTCTAAATGGGCAGGGTGTGCTAAAAGATGTTGTTGCCTTGGTATGATCTATGAGTAAATGAAGGGAAGTTCCTATACCTCTTCATGTTGATAGCTGAATCCCAGATGGAGTCTCAAAGATGACAAATTTGAAGTTTGAGTACAGAGCTGAATCCACAGATCCAGTCCCTTGTTTTATTCACATGTATCCACTTTAATTGGCATAGTTCTTTAAATATTTTAATCCACATCCTTTTAATCCACATTGTTAATTAACACAGGCTGCCTTAGTGAATTTTTGCTCCTGTTTCTGGCAGATTTTGTGTCCAGGAGATCTTCCTTCAGACAATCATAATGTGCAGCCCAATTTACACATGATTTAAATAAAAAAATTCTAGTAAGCTCTGTGCTTCAATTTCAAATTCTGTAAACTGTCTTAGGACCCAAACCCAGCAGATTCAGAATGCTGAGGCTCCCTAGGAACCCCTCCTAGGTCATTTTACAGATGGATTGCCTCAAATACAATTTTGACAGCAGATCTATGGCACTTCTTTCTTGGTCTCCTCATTTTTCTGCTTTCTGGCTTCACAGTGGCAAGATGGAGACGGAAGAGTTTGATAGAGCAGCATTTACAAGGAGAGAGAATGGATATGTTTTTGAACTGCTACAGCAGCACGACAAATATTGACCTCAATTTTAAGTCAATTTGGAATCCTGAAATATTTTTAAGATGAACGTGATGCTTGAGAGCTGATGGAGAATTTGAAATAGTTTCCTGTTATATGTAGCTTTTGGCCTCTTTGAACTTCTCTCCTATATGCACAGAATGCAAGAATGCTGTTTGTTTCCCAAACCCAGGCTGACAATTCAGGTTGCCCAGTTCATTCCCTTGGATGGAAAAAAACTTCACAGATTCCCATTCCTCATCTCTGAGCTGTAAATTTTCTTTGCATTTTCTCAGGTAGCAAACACCATTTAGTAACCTTCCCAAATGCTAGAAGTAATTCAACACTAATTGTTTTTAGAAATAGGTTTTCCAAGGTATCACTTTAAAATAAGCTTGTTTACTGTTGCTCACTCATCCGTATAATTCACATCTTGCAACTAAAATCCTTTTTTTCTTTAATATAATGAGTTCTAGAAAGTCCTCTATGGGTTTCCCAAATGTTCAGAGTAAATACTAGAGTGCTACATTGGAATATTAATAAACAATTTGTTCACTTCACATTTAACACAGGACTTGTAGCTGAAGGAGAATACAACCCACCATTTAGGAAGAGCTGTTCAGAGGCAGTTCTTGTGGTCCTTCAGAGCAATGACTTTTGCTTTTCTTATGCTTGTATGCCCACAATCTAAATATGAAGCATTGTGCTTGGAGTCCCTGGGTATTATTTCCTTCAATGGAAAACTTTGTTATTATTCAGGATCTGAAGCTGATCTTTGGATAGATTACAGAAAGTACTTACTGAAGATAGAAACTCAGAAAATCAAGGGGCCCATTAATATTTTGGAGATGGAGCAATGCATTAGCTTTCACTTTGATACCTCGTACAATGACAGCAGATGCACCTGTTCTAGGCTATTAGTCAAAAAAGCTTTCCATTCTTAATAACAATCCAGCCAAGAAACAAGCACACAAAAAAACTCCGCTCTGATGAACTTAATGCTGATGTGTATATAGGTACTGTGACAATGAGTACATAACATGATACATGGCTATCTTCTGGTGGAAACCATCCTTCTCCTAACCTCTTTAATACTCCAGCTTTAAGCTTACTGAGTAAAGAATGGAGTTATGAAGTATTATTCCAAAATGCAAAAGGGAGGTAAAGTACAGCTATTAATTAGTTATGTTGCAAAAGGAATGGAGATCATAAACAAGGAACAAGGTAGATAAAATGCTCCACTCCAGGTTACCTGGGTGAACAGCAAAGCAAAGTATATCACCTATATCACCATAGAGAAATGTATAAAAGCTATCCCTGTATATATGACATACCAGGTCACTCTCTGCATGTCTTAGCATTATCCTTAATTTTGTTTTTTCACTTCGCAACAGAGAACAGGGACAGAAATGTGGTTAATTGTGAAATCTGTTATATGTCAATTTATCTGCCATTTGTTGTCTGTGGCATGTTATGAATAAAATTTTAGACTTTCTCCTATTTTCTTATCCTTCACTCATGACAGAAATGCCAGAATCTTGAGCAGTACGATCAGAGAGAAAATAACTGAAATGTCCTTTCCTGCATCAATCTTGTCTCTGCTGACATGGCAAGACGTCCTAAAACCCTAAAGATGAAAAATTGCTTACTATTCACAACAGTAAATTAATAACAATAAAAATACCAGAGCCAAATCCTACAGGTGTTACTCAACTCTGACATCCATCAGCTCCATTAGAACCTATTCAGCTAATAGCAGAGGCTGGATTCTTCACATCCTACTGCCTATGACCGTAGGGTGCACATAATGGATTTGTAATACTAGAACAGTGAAACTCAAATCTAGGCTCAGAGTTTGCACAATAAAACAAACCAGTGAAGTCCAGTTTGGTGCCTTAGAGGAAGGCAAATGTGGTGCATTTTTACTGGTGGGATTTTGAAACGTGGTTCGAGCTGGCCTAATTAGCCTCACATTAAAGTCACTAGTATGCCATTAAAGTCACTGGTAAAATTTATCAGTTCCCTT